TATTATGGCCCCAAAGGCCCTGTGACATTGATGCCTACCCAGATCTCCATAAGCTCATACCACTCTCTCTTTATCTCAATATATTGCTGGTAGGTTAACCTCTCTTCTGTTTTTGGAATAGGCCAAGCACTTCAGGGCTGCTGCCTAGAATGTCATTAATTCAGCACATCCCATGGATCGCTTCTTGTCATTCTTTAGAACTCAGCTCACTTGTTACCTTCCCAGAAAGCATTCCCATGTGTTCATTATATCAGAATCAATACTACTCATTGCCACAGTTATATTTGCCAGTTATATTTATTAATGTCCAGTAGCTATATTTTTATTTCTTGTTTTTCTTTATCAAACCAAGGATCTCTTCTACTGTCTTTAATAGTGTTTCTCTAGCAGCACTTAGAGCAGTGCACTTCATATAGTAGACCATTAATATTGTCCTATTATTTTAAATTGATGCATACATTACATATAATACTAATATCTGCTATGGTTTGACTGTGTCCCCCAAAAAGCCTGTGTTGGAAACTTAATCCCCAGTGCAATAATGTTAAGAGGTGGGACCTTGAAGAGGTGATTAAGTCATGAAAGCTTCACCCTCATGAATGAATACTGTTATTGCAGGAGTGGGTTTGATATAAAAAGCTGAATTTGACCACCTTCTCTCTCTCTTACTTTCTCTCTGCCCTTCCTCAATGGGATGGCATAGCAAGAACACCCTTAGTAGATGCTGGCCCCATGAGCTTGGACTTATCAGCCTCCAGAACCATAAGACAACACATTTTTATTAATTATAAATTACCCAGTATCTGGCATTCTGTTATAGCAACACAAAACAAACTAAGACAGAAAATTGGTGCTAGAGAGTGGGGTATAGCTATAAAAAAATATTTTAAAATGTGGCCGTGGCTTTGGAACTGGGTAATGGCCAGAGGCTAGAAGAGTTTGGAGGAGCTGGTTGGAAAAACACTATATTATTATGAATAGAACATTAAGGGAAATTCTGGTGAGGCCTTGGAAGAAGAGAAAAGCTCCAGTTAAATTCTGAAATTTCCTAGAGATTATTTAAGTAATCATGATCAGAATTTTGGTAGAAATATGAATGGTAAAGGCAATTAATGAAATTTCCATAGAAATGAGGAACAAGGTTTTGAAAACTAGAGGAAAGGCCATTCTTGTTATAAAGTGGCAAAGAATTTGGCTGAATTGTGTTCTTGACCAAAGAGTTTGTGGAAGGTATACTTTAAGGGGATATCTTTTGGAAGAAACATCTAAGCAGCAATGTATCCAGGGTGCTACATGGCTTCTTTTAACTGTATATAGTAAAACATGAGAAGAAATTATTTAAAGATGGAATTTATAATTAAAAGGGAAACTGAACTCAGGGATTTGAAGGATTTTCAGCCTGGAAGAATGGTAGAGAATGAAGAAGCATTTTAAGGAGAGGAAACCAAGGGTTTGGCACAACCATTTGATAAGGAAATATTAGTATGGATAGAAGGAAACCAGAGGTTATTCAGCAGAACAATGGAAGAATAACCCTGAAGACACTTCAAAGATTACCTGTGCTACCCTTACCATCACAGTCCATGAATGACAAGGGCACCCTCAGAAGCTTGGGGCTCACTACCCAATCTCTTTTCCCCACATTCTGGTGCAGTGCTCTTCAGCTGCCCAGTCATGACTCAAGAGGGCCCAGGTACAGCTCAACTTACTCCTCCAGGAGATACAACCTATGGCATCCATGTAGTGCTAATTCTGCAGGTTAACAGAATGTAAGTTGTGGGAGAATGGTTTTCTTCACCTAGATTTCAAAGGATGTTGGCTGATAACCTGGGGACCCAGGCAGAGACTTGTCACAGGGTTAGAGGAACCACAGAGAACCCCTCCTAGAGAAATGCCAAGCAGACCTGTGGGATAAGGGCTTTCACAAGATAATGCTAAATGGAACCCTAGAGATGGGCCCTCTTTTAAGACCCCCAAACTGTAAAGGTACTAGTGTGTAAAATCTGGTTAGGACAGTTGCAGGCCTGAAATTCCAGCCAGGAGAGTTGTTGCATGGTCTGAGCCCAGCAAAACCATAAGGGTGGGGCTAAAAGTGGGGATATAGGGGCCAAACTGCCCCTTCAGTGTGTCCAGGAGGTAGTGATGAAGTGAAATATTGTTTTGAAGTCTTAAGATTTAATGTTGTCTGCACTGCTGGTTACGGACTTACTTGGGGCCTGCTACTCCTTTCTCCCTCCAGTTTCTCACTTTGGAATGGTAATATTTATCTGATCACTGTCCCATTATTGTATTTTGGAAGTAGATAACTCATGTTGATTTCACAGGCTCACAGAGGAAGGAAATTTGCTTCACAATGAATTGTGCCTTGAGTCTCACCCATATCTGATTTAGATTATAGTCTGGACTTGAGTTGCTGATAAAAAATAAGTTAATTGCGGCAATTGGGATGGAATAAATGTATTGTACTATGAAAAATTGGGGGTCAGGGTGGAATGTTATGGTTTGAATGTGCTACCCAGAAAGGATGTGTTAAAAAACTTAATCTCCAGTTCAAGGATGTTAAGAGATGGAAGCTTTAAGAAGCGATTAGGCCATGAGGGCTCCATTCTCATGAATCGATTAAGGCTGTTATTCAGAGAGTTACTTCATTATAAAAAAGCCAACTTCAGGCCCCCATCTCTCTCTCTCCCTCCTTCCCTCCCTGTCATTTTGCCCTTCACCAAGGTAATATAGCAAGAAGACTCTGATCAGACCCCAGCCCCTTGATCTTGGACGTTCCAGCTTTTAGAAACATGAGCCAGTAGATTTCTGTTTATTATAGATCACCCAGTCTTAGGTATTAAGTTACAGCAGGAAAAAAACAGACAAAAACATGACATATATCAACATAAAAACATTTTTATAACCCCAGGAAGTTCTCTTGTGCTCCTGGGCATCAAATCCCTATGACAAAGCAACTATTATTGTGATTTTTATTACCATAGGTTAATTTTATCTATTCCAGAATTGCATATAAGTGCAGTAATGCAGGATACATATTTGGTGTTTATCACCGAGCATAATATTTTTGAGTTTTACCCATGTTGTTGCATGTATTATCAGATTATTTCTTTTTATTACTGAGTATCTTATTGTATACATCAAATATCCATTATATGTTGTTGAAAATCAAGATTATTTCTAGTTTTGGGTTTATGATAAATAAAACTGATGTAAACTTTTTAATATAAAGTTTATGGTGGACAAATATGTTTTCATTTCCCTTGAATCTAGACATAGGAGTAAAATTGCTGAACCATAGGGTAGATGTGTATTTAACTTTTCAGAAACTGACAGTTTTCTAAATGGTGGTATTATTTTACATTTCCACGACCAACTTATAAGAGTTTCAGCTGTTCTACATCCTCTACAAAATTTGGTGTTTTCACTCTGTGATTCAATAACTTGCTATTCTGGTAGATATGTAAGTAGCTATCTCATGGTATATTTAATTTGCATTGTCTTAATGAGTGAAATATTGGGCACCTTTCACGTACTTATTAGACATTTGCATATATTCTTTTCCCAGGTGTCTGAGACTTTTACCAAATTGTATTGCGTTTGTTTGCCTTTTTTTGTTATTTGAGTATTCTTAATATTCTGATTTCAATAAAGGTTATCTTCTCAATTTTCTGATAATTTCATGCATTTAGTAAGTTGTTAAATGTTAGCTTCTGTTTCTATTAGGAAAAAACAATTAGCTGGGATTGGTAGTACACACTTGTAGTCCTAGCTACTCTAGAGGCTAAGGTGGGAGGAAGCCTGACCATTCCACTACACTCCAGTCTGGACAATAGAGCAAAACCCCCATTTCCTAAAAAAACAAAAAAGGCATTACTTATAACTACTGGTTTCTTATTTAGCATCATCATGTGGTTCACAAAGATATTCTGCACAATTTTAGTCCTATGAAGTATATTAAGACTTGTTTTATGACACAGCATGTGGTTTATCTGAGCCAATATTTCATTTGCACTTTATAAAAATATGTATTCTGCTTGTGATGGGTGTATGGTTCCATAAATATCAATCAGGTCAACTTGGGTGAGAGTGTAGTGTTTAAATCTTTTTTATCTTTGTAAATCTTGTTTATTTACTTATTACAGGGAAAGCTAGGTAAAGTTTCCAATTATTGTTGAAGATTTATCTAAATTCCCTAAAAATGTTCTCCTTATATATATAGGATCTTTGTCTTTGGATGCATATGCATTTCATTTTATGTCTCTGATTAATTGATATTTTTATCATTATGAAGTCTTTTTATTTTTGGTTTTACTCTTTATCTTATAGTTTACTTTGCCTAGTAATTGTATGGTTAGTATTTATGTGCTATTTTTCATTATTCTATTTTCAACCTGTTCATACTTTTAATGAATTTCTCATAAGTAGCACATAGGCAAGTCTTGTTTTCATATTCAATTTGTAAAAAATGTTTAGTCCATTTACATTTGCTGTAATTAAGAGATCATTTTTCAAGTTTATCATATTTGTTTGATTTTTCTTTGCCCTCTCTGCTCTCTTTTTCTCTTTATCTCTGCCTCTTTATTTATTTTTTGCTAGGGGTAAATTAAACATATTTTTTTATTCATGTAACCTCTTCTAGTAGATTTTTATTTATGTCTCTGTGCTTTTGTTTAGTTGTCAGCTTATTTATTGCCATATACATTTTTAACTTATGACATTCTATACTCAAAAAATATTTTGTGTCATAAAAAGTGAAAACTTTATATTTACATATATCATTGTACTCCCATTTTTTGTGTTCTTGTTATTTATTTTAGTTCTGTTTACCAGAAAACTCATGCTCACATTTTATTATTTTTACTGTAAATATCCAATAGCATTTAAAGGAGTTTTAATTATGTTTATGCATAAAAAAGGGGCAACTTTTTAAAAGATATTTTATGCTCTCTGGCCTATCACTTTAGTTTGAGTTTGAGTTTCTCCGTTTCTTTCTTTAGAATCAAGTTTCGGAGGGATTCTGCCAAGATGGCCTAATAGGAACAGCTCTGGAATGCAGTTCCTAGCGAGAGACATGCAGAAGGTGAGTGATCTCCACATTTCCAACCAAGGTTCTAGGTTCATTTAAATGGGACTGGTTGGACAGTGGGTGTAGCCCAAGGAGGGCAAACTGAGGCAGGACGGGGCGTTGCCTCGCCTGAGAAGTGCAACTGACTGAAGGATCCGGGACTTTCCCTCTAGCACTCAGGTTCCGATACTGTGCTTCTCCCATGGCCTCTACAACCCACAGACCAGGAGATTCCTGCCAGGCTGAAAAGTGCTGCAAGTTACCAGCACAGATCTGGGCAGATGTTTTGACTAGCACTGTGATTGCCTGCAGGATGGAGCTACTGACTCCCCAGAAAGAGGGGAAACTGAAAGCAGGGAGACATGTTATATGGCTGGGCCCCCACAAAGACCAACAAACTGAAGCCCTTGAGCTTGACCCAGAGCCATCAAGCTTATTGGGGGGAAGGGCATCTGCCATTGCTGAGGTGGGCCTAAATTTACTTGTATAAACAAAAGTCAGAGGAAGCTTACACAGCAGCCAGACTGAGTCCATGGCAGCACCTCTGCAGGCAAAGGACAGACTACCTCCTCATGCAGTTCCCTGACCCCTGTGTAACCAAAAAAATGCCTTGTACAGGAGAGCTCTGGCTGATACCTGGCAGGTGCCCTTCTGGGATGAAGCTACCAGAGGAAAGATCAGGCAGCAATCCTTGTTGTTCTGCAACCCTTGTGGGTGATCCCCAGGCAAGCAAATTCTGGAGCGGGCCTTCAGCAGTCCTACAGCAGAGGGACCTGACTGTTAGAAGGAAAACTAAAAAACAAAAAGAAATAGCTTCAACATCAACAGAAAGGATGTCCACTCATAGACCTCATCCCAAATCACCAACTTCAAAGATCAAAGGTAGATAAATCCACAAAGATGGGAAAAAACCAGTGCAAAAAGGATTAAATCATCAAAGAGCAGAATGCCTCTCATACTCCAAGGGATCACAACTCCTCACCAGCAAGAGAACAAAATAGGATGGAAAATGAATTTGATGAACTGGAAGAAGCAATTCTCTGAGCTAAAGGAACATGTTCTAACCCAATGCAAAGAAGCTGAGAACATTGAAAAAAGGTTAGAAAAAATGCTAACTAGAATAACTAGCTCTGAGAAGAACATAAACAACTTGATGGAGCTGAAGAACACAGCACAAGAACTTTGCAAACCATACATAAGTTTTAATAGCTGAATCAATCAGGCAGAAGAAAGTATATCAGAGACTGAAGAGCAACTCAATGAAATAAAATGAGAAGGCAAGATTAGAGAAAAAAAGAGTGAAAAATGAACAAAGCCTCTGAGAAATATGGGATTATGTGAAAAGACCTAATCTACATTTGATTGGTGTACCTGAATGTGACAGAGAGAATGAATCCAAGCTGGAAAACACTCTTCAGGATATAATCCAGGAGAACTTCCCCAACCTTGCAAGGCAGGTCAATATTCAAGTCTAGGAAATATAAAGAACACCACAAAGATATTCATCAAGAAGAGCAACCCCAAGGCACATCACTGTCAGATTCAACCAGAGTTGAAATGAAGGAAAAAATGCTAAGGGTAGCCAGAGAAAAAGGTGGGGTCATCCACAAAGGGAAGGCCATCAGACTCACAGCAGAAACCCTACAAAGCCAGAAGAAGGAGAGAGTGGGGCCAATATTCAACATCCTTAAAGAAAATAACTTTCAACATAGAATTTCATATCTAGCCAAACTAAGCTTTATAAGTGAAGGGGAAATAAAATATCCTATGGACAAGCAATTGCTGAGAGATTTTTTTCACCACCAGACGTGCCCTATAAGAGCTCCTGAAGGAAGCACTAAACGTGGAAAGGAACAACCAGTACCAGCAACTGCAAAAATGTATGAAATGGTAAAGACCAATGATGCAATGAAGAAACTGCATCAACTAATGGGCAAAACAATCAGCCAGTAAGAAAATGGCGGGATCAAGTTCACCATAAGAATATTAAAGTGGCTGGGCGCGGTGGCTCAAGCCTGTAATCCCAGCACTTTGGGAGGCCGAGATGGGTGGATCACAAGGTCGAGAGATCGAGACCATCCTGGTCAATGTGGTGAAACCCCGTCTCTACTAAAAATACAAAAAATTAGCTGGGCATGGTGGTGCATGCCTGTAATCCCAGCTACTCGGGAGGCTGAGGCAGGAGAATTGCCTGAACCCAGGAGTTGGAGTTGCGGTGAGCCGAGATCGTGCCATTGCACTCCAGCCTGGGTAACAAGAGCAAAACTCCGTCTCAAAAAAAAAAAAAAAAAAAAAAGAATATTATAGTTAAACAGCCTAAATGCCCCAATCAAAAGACACAGACTGTCAAACTGTATAAAAAGTCAAGACCCATTGGTGTGCTGCATTCAGGAGACCTATCTAACATGCAAAGACAAACATAGACTCAGAATAAAGGGATGCAAGAAGATTTACCAAGCAATGGCAAGCAAAAAAAAAAAAAAGCAGGAATTGCAATCCTAGTCTCTGATAAAATAGACTAAACCAACAAAGATAAAAAGAGACAAAGAATGACATTGCATCATGGTAAAAGGATCAATGCAACAAGAAGAGCTAACAATCCTAAATATATATGCACCCAATACAGGAGCACCCAGATACATAAAGCAAGTTCTTAATGACTTACAAAGACTTAGACTCTCACACAATAATAGTGGGAGACTTTAATACTCCACTGTCAATATTAGACAGATCAATGAGACAGAAAATCAACAAGGAAATCCAGGACCTGAATGCAGATCTAGACCAAGTGAACTTAATAGACATTTACAGAACTCTCAACCTCAAATCCACAGAATATATATTCTCAGCATTGCATTGCACTTACTCTAAAATCGAACACATAATTGGAAGTAAATCACTCCTCAGCAAATACAAAAGAACGGAAATCATAACAGTCTCTCAGACCACAGTACAATCAAATTAGAACTCAGGATTAAGAAACTAATTCAGAAACACACAACTTCATGGAAACTGAACAACTTGCTCCTGAATGATGACTGGACAAACAATGAGATGAATACAGAAATAAAGATGTTATATGAATACAACGTACCAGAATTTCTGGGACACATTTAAAGCAGTATCCAGAGGGAAATTTATAGCCATAAATGTCCACAAGAGAAGCCAGGAAAGATCTAAAATCTACAGCCTATCGTCAAAATTAAAAGAACTAAAGGAGCAAGATAAACAAATTCAAAAGCTAGCAGAAGACAAGAAATAACTAAGATCAGAGCAGAACTGAAGTAGATAGAGACACAAAAAAAACTTCAAAAAATCAGTAACTCTGGGAGCTGGTTTTTTGAAAAGTTCAACAAAATAGACTACTAGTGAGACTAATGAGAAGATTTGAATGGAAGCAATAAAAACTGATAACGGGACTAAAGCAACAAAGAAATACAGCGATTCCACAGAAATACAAACTAGCATCAGAGATTACTACAAACAGCTCTATGCACCTAAACCAGTAAATCTGGAAGAAATTGATACATTCCTGGACATTTACACCCTCCTAAGACTAAACCAGGAAGAAGCTGAATCCCTGAAAAGACCAATAACAAGGTCTGAAGTTGAGGCAGCAATTAGTAGCCTACCAACCAAAATAAGTCCAGGTCCAGGCAGGTTTATAGCTGAATTCTACTAGACATGCAAAGAGGAGCTGGTACCATTCCTTCTAAACTATTCCAAACATACAAAAAGAGGGAATCCTCCCTAATTCATTTTATCCTGATACCCAAACCTGGCAGAGACACAACTAAGAAAGACAGTTTCAGGCCAATATCCATGAAAAATAGATGGAAAAATCTTCAATAAAATACTGGCAAACCAAATGGCACAGCAAATTAAAAAGATTATCCATCACGATCAAATAGGCTTCATCCCAGGGATGCAAGGCTGGTTCAGCATACGCAAATCTGTAAATGTAATCCATCACTTAAACAGAACCAATGACAAAAACCACATGATTTTCTCAATAGATGCAGAGAAGGCCTTTGACAAAACTCTGCAGCCCTTTATGCTAAAAATGCTCAATAAACTATGTATCAATAAAACATATCTCAAAATAATAAAAGCTATTTAAGACAAACCCACAGGCAATATCATGGTGAATGGGCAAAAACTGGAAGCATTCCCTTTGAAAACTTACACCAGACAAGGATATCCTCTCTCACCATTCCTATTCAATATAGTATTGGAAGTTCTAGCCAGAGCAATTAGGCAAGAAAAAGAAATAAAGGCTATTCAATTAGGAAAAGAGGAAATCAAATTGTCTCTATTTGCAGATTATATGATTGTATATTTAGAAGACCCCACTGTCTCAGCCCAAAATCTCCTTAAGATGATAAGCAACTTCAGCAAAGTCTCAGGATACAGAGTCAGTGTGCAGAATTCACAAGTATTCCTATACACCAATAACAGAGAGCCAAATCATGAGTGAACTCCCATTCACCATGACTTCAAAGAGGATAGCATACCTAGGAATACAACTAACAAAGGATGTGAAGGACCTCTTCAAGGAGAACTACAAACCACTACTCAAGGAAATAAGAGAGTACACAAACATGGAAAAAAAATTCATGCTCATGGTTAGGAAGAATCAATATCGTGAAAATGGCCATACTGCCCAAAATAATATATAGATTTAATACTATCCCCATCAAGCTACCATCGACCTTCTTCACAGAACTGGAAAAAAACACTTTAAATTTCATATGGAACCAGTGAGCCCACATAGCCAAGACAATCCAAAGCAAAAAGAACAAAGCTGGAAGAATCACGCTACCTAACTTCAAACTATACTACAAGGTTGCAGTAATCAAAACAGCATGGTACTGGTACCAAAACAGAGATATAGACCAATGGAGCATAATAGAGGCTTCAGAAGTAACACCACACAAGTACAACCATCTGATCTTTAACAAACCTGACAAAAACAAGCTATGGGGAAAGGATTCCCTGTTTAACAAATGGTGCTGGGAAAACTTGCTAGCCATTTGCAGAAAGCTGAACCTGTACCCCTTCCTGACACCTTACACTAAAATTAACTTCACATGGATTAAAGATGGATTAACCATAAAAACCCTAGAAGAAAACCTAGGCAAAACCATTTAGGATATAGGCATAGGCAAGGACTTCATGACTAAAACACCAAAAGCAATGGCAACAAAAGCCAAAATAGACAAATGGGATCTAATTAAACTTAAGTGTTTCTGCACAGCCAAACAAACAATCATTAGAGTGAACTAGCATCCAACAGAGTCAGAAAAAACCTTTGCAATCTAGCCATCTGACAAAGGGCTAATATCTAGAATATACAAAGAATAAAGCAGATTTACAAGAAAAAAAAAAAAGCCCATTCAAAAGTGGGCAAAATATATGAACAGTCTTTTCAAAAGAAGACATTTATGAGGGCAACAAACATATGAAAAAATCCTCATCATCACTGGTCATTAGAGAAATGCAAATCAAAACCAAAATGAGATATCATCTCATGCCAGTTAGAATGGCGATCATTAAAAAAGCTGGAGACAACAGATGTTAGAGAGGTTATGGAGAAATAGGAACACTTTTACACTGTTGGTGGGAGGGTAAATTAGTTCAACCATTCTGGAACACAGTGTGGTGATTACTCAAGTATCTAGAAATAGAAATTCCCTTTGGCCCAGCTATCCCATTACTGGGTATACACCCAAAGAATTATAAATTGTGCTATTATAAGGACACATGCACACCTATGTTCATGGTGGCACTGTTTACAATAGCAAAGACCTGGAACCAACCCAATGTCCATTGATAATAGACTGGACAAGGAAAATGTGGCACATATACACTATGGAATACTATGCAGCCATAAAAGGATGAGTTCATGTCCTTTGCAGGGACATGGATAAATCTGGAAACCATCAACATCAGCAAACTGACACAAGAACAGAAAACCAAATACCGCATGTACTCACTCATAGATGGGTGTTGAACAATGAGAACACATGGACACAGGGAGGAAAACATCACACAGTGGGGTCTGTTGGGAGGTTAGAGGAGGGACAGTGTGAGGTGGGGACATTAGGGAGGGATAACATTGAAAGAAATGCCTGATGTAGGTGATGGGGGGATGGAGACAGAAAACCACCATGGCATGTGTGTACCTATGCAACAATCCTGCAAGATCTACACATGTACCCCAGAACTTAAAGTACAATGAAAAAAAAAAATCAAGTTTCTATCTGATAGTATGTCCTTTCTGGATATAAAACTGCTTTATAAATTCATTATAGTGTAGGTTTGCTGATGATAAATTCAGTCAGTTTTTGTCTGACTGAAATGTATGTGTTTCTTTTTTGATATTAAAGCGTATTTTAAAGAATAGAATTCTAGTGGCTGGGTGCAATGGCTCACACCTGTAATCCCAGCACTTTGGGAGGCCGAGGCAGGTGTATCACCTAATGTCAGGAGTTTGAGGCCAGCCTGACCAACATGGAGAAACCCCATCTCTACTAAAAATACAAACTTCCCCGGGCATGGTGGCACATGTCTGTAATCCCAGCTACTTGGGAGGCTTAGCCAGGAGGATAGCTTGAACCCAGGAGGTGGAAGTTGCCATGAGCCGAGGTCGTGTCATTGCACTCCAGCCTGGGCAACAGGAGCAAAACTCTATCTATCTCAAAAAATAAAAAAAACAGAATCCTAGGTGGCATAATATTTGTTGGTGGTGGGGGTGGGGTGTGTGTGTGTTCCAGCCATTGAGCACACTGTTTCCATTGTCTCCTGGCTTTCATTGCTTTTTAAAGACATTTAAGTTGCAATTTTATGATTGATTTGTACAAGTAACATTTCTTTTTTTGTTCCCTCAAGATTTTTTTTATCTTCAACTCTCAGCCATTTAACTGGGAAGTGTATGTGTGTGTGTTCCTCCATATTTTTCTGGCTTTGGCTGTGGGTTATCTGAGGTTCCTGGATCTATGATTTATTGTCTTTCATTAATTTTGGAAATTTTGGGTCATTATCTCTCTATACACACACATATGTATATACACGTGTGTATATACACGTGTATGTGTGGGTGTGCACGCCCAATTTCCTTTCTTCTGTATCTGGCTTTCCAAATAGATGCAAGTTAAACTATTTGATTTTTTTCCCACAGATGTTCAGTGCTATGGACTGCTTTTTCCCTCACTCTTTTGCTGCCTTGTATTTCAGTTTAGATAATTTCTATTAACGTAACTTCCAGTCCACTGATTATTTTTTCTGCCGTGTCCAGTCTGCTGATCCACCAATAGAAGGAATTTTTCACCTCTGATGTTGTTTTTATTCCTAGCATTTCCATTTGTTTTCTATTTTACAATTTCTTTCTGCCCAAATTGTTCCTCTGACATGCATGTTTTCCATCTCTTTGAACTATATACATTAAGATGTCAAGTACACGAAAAACAAGAGTTCCCAAAGGGTAAAGAAAGAGTTAGATTTCCATGTGGCTGGGGAGGCCTCACAATCATGGCAGAAGGTAAAATGCATGTCTCACATGGCAGCAGGCAAGAGAGAGGGAGCTTGTGCAAGATAACTCCCATTTTTAAAACCATCAGCACTCATGAGAAAAATTCACAGTCCCGAGAACAGCATAGGAAAGACCCGCCCTGATAATTCAGTCATTTCTCACTGGGTCCCTCCCACAACACATTGGGAATTATGGGAGCTACAAGATGAGAGCTGGATGGGGACACAGAGCCAAACCAAATCAATAGGTAATAAAAAAAATTATCTAAAGGACATGAAAAGCATGTTTGCAGACCAGACTGTTTGTATTCCAGGAGAGGTAGATAATAAAATATATTCAACTGTAAAAGTCTTAGAGTCTGCATACTAAGAGAAAATTGTTACAAGCTTCTGGACAAAAATAAAGAAAATACTTACAAAGGAAAAAGCATTGCCCTGGCATTGTACTTCTCATCTGAAACACTGTATGTTAGAAGGTGGTGGAATAATGTCTATTCATTGTAGATGGAGGGGTCAGGGAGGAATGCAGCCCAAGAATATCAAACACAGCCCAAACAGCTTTCACTTTCAAAGTGCAATAAGATATCTGGCATGCATAGAAAGTTTCAGACTTAGGGTGTTAAAGTATTTGTTTTGATGCTATACCTCAAAATACAATAGCCTAAAAGAAAGAAATTTATTTATCTCTTGTAATACTCCAGAGAAGAGAAGATGATGAAGGGAATTCTGAGGGATAATCCCAGGATATAAGTTCCTCTCAACCTGCTGCTCTGCTATTCTGTAAGGCAGGGAATTATTACATTTTTTGTGCTATGGAAACTCCTGGCAAACTGGTGAATCCTATAAAGCCCATCTCAAAGTAAATGTAGATGCATAAAATAAATTACAAAGAATTATAAAAAAATTAATTACGATCATCAACATATTTATAAAATAAATTTGTGATAATATATATGCTTTATAATGATGACATTAAATACAATTTCTGGTGGTGGATCCTAATAATTCTTATAATTTCAAAGTAGCCATGAGTGTAAACATCAACTTGATGAGGTAAGTTTATCATTGTTCCTCTTTCCTAAGTGAGGAAACTGAGTCATGAGGGATTAAACAACTCATCCAAGATGACATGCCTAGTAATCAGTGAAGCCAAGTTTATAGCTTAGGCTATCTGGTTATAAAGTCTACATTCTAAATAACTAAGAGAAACAGGAAGTCACAAAATGAGAGAAAAAGGAAGATAAAGTTAATCAATAACAAAATTAATGAAATCATTATCATAACAGGTAAGTATATACCAATATGCGGACAAGTATATATAAGAAAAAACAGATAAGTAAATACCACAACAGATTATTTAAAAGACCAATAAAAGATATAAACAAGTAGTTAACCTCAGTAAGGAAAATACAGAGAAAAATAAAACTGGAGATGCGAGATGGAGCTACAGATCTAAATGAGAATATAAGTGTGACTTCTCATGATAAATGATATGTTTCATTGGTTGTCCATGCACCTCAGTGACATTACCAGGCAAAGCTATCCTGTGAGTTATTTTGTCCCCAACCAACCAGCCAGCCATTGACACTGGTCGCTTGGGTCACTTTGCTCGTCATTCTTTTGCAGTTGAACACTAACTTAAAATGTTTTTGAAGAAATCTGTTGGAGTCAGGTAGAAGTTTAAGGCAGAACCAGACAGGCTGCTGGTTAAACATCCCATTCTGTCAGAGGTCAGGGCCTGGAAACCTGGCCGGGTGCTAAGGATTTTGCAGCTAGAAGTGAGTCAGGGAAAATGGAGGGTCTAGAAGCCAAGGAGTCATGCAAGGCAGGAGTGACCAAGGAGGTTCTTGAGGTCAAGTGAACTGGGGCCAGCAATCTAGAAGGTCAGGCTGAGTCAGACTCACCATGGAGCAGGAACACCAAAGTGAGTCTAATGGTTGGGCAGGAAGTTTTTGTCCACTGGCAACTGCAGCCAGGGAGACAGGAACTGGCCAGCAATGCCAGATTCCAGACAGAGCAGGTGAAGCAAATGAGACTTAACAGAGAGTCTCACACCAAGGATACACAGCTGTTTCCTTTCCATGAATATATTTTCATTACTAATAAAATTACTGGTAATAATCTGATAATTTTATTTAGACTAAGTGGTTACACCTATCCATTCAAAATCTAATACAATGTCTACTTTGTAAAATGGAGAAACTAAGCACAGCCAACATGAATTCCTTCAACCAACAGAAAAATGTAATATCAACTTAGATGTGGCCACAATAGTTACTTTTTCTTTTCTTTTTTTTTTTAGACAGAGTCTCACTCCATTACGCAGGCTGGAGTGCAGTGGCACAATCTCAGCTCACTGCAACTTCTGCCTCCTGGGTTCAAATGATTTTCCTGCCTCAGCCTTCAGAGTAGCTGGAATCACAGGTATGTACCACCAGGTCTGGCTAATTTTTGCATTTTCAGTAGAGATGGGGTTTCATCATGTTGGCCACAATATTTTCTAGAACTACTTTTGTTTACTTTAACTTCTTTCTCCCTAGTAGAAATTTTGATCCTTGCCACTGGTTAAAATATAATAAAGGGATTCAGTTTTCTGAGGGAATTTATAACTACATTGAACTTGTCCCTGAAAAGGAATGAAATGATGCAAGGGAACACTCACCCTCCAGACGTGCTTGACTGCTTGTATTTATTTGCTCTGTATTAATGGCTGGTATTAATTTTAAGTTGTTTAAATATACATGTGTACTGAATAGACAATGTAATATGAAGAAACCATTGCATAATGATGCTTTGAAATCTCTTGTGCCTAGTGAATGTGTGTGAGATGAGGACAAAGACATTCTAAATGTCATGTAGAGACATTCAGGAGTCCTGTGGTGGCTGGAAATAGATGAGCTCACACATGTGCAGGTATACAAAGATTTAGATTAGAAAAGGGAAGAAAGATGAAAGGTGGGGGGATTGTTCTAATAAGCACATTCATTAATGTAATGTTTCCCATCTTACACATGACTCTGACAAGGAACAGACCAATCAGAAGTCACTGCTATTCTCAGATGAGAAGCAGAGTTTTAAAGTCCTGATGCCTTTAGGTAAGGGAGATGGAGAGGATCAACACGGTGCATATCTGATAGTCTCAAAGATACTGTCTGAAATCTGATCTTGCTCTGCTACATCATCCTTAAGCAACTCTACAAATCTGACCATGGACAAGAATTTAAAATTGATTAAATATTTCATCATGCTGATTCCTGCATTGGAGATACCTCCAATCTGTGGACTAGGTCTTCTTTGATAAACACTCTACATGCATATACTCATTTAATTTTCACAACTTTGTAATGCTGTAGCAAAAAAGGTGAAAACTGCATTTACAGGTTCCTTTGTTAGTGCACTGTCTCCTAAATTTTACTAATGGAAGCCACTTGCGGAAAATCAGCAGTTGTGAGAAAAGGAGTGATTATTCTTGTTTTTTACCTCTCTTGTTGTTCTTTCTTCTGGTGATCCCTGGAAGTAGTTGTATCCCTGGTCTTTTCCACCATTCCAGTTCCTGATTCTTCTCTCCCATTTCTTCAGCACTATCACAGTAACTTTCATCAGGGTTTCAGTGCCAGAAGCATTGGCCAGTTTTCTCTACTCCCAAGTTTTGGTAACTTCACATCTTCCTTTGTGTTTCCCTATCTAAAAGTGGTTACTAATTTATAGATTACTTCATCTTCCATTTCTTGCTCCTCAAATGTTACAACATCGACATAACCAAGATCATGTGCTAAATTTCTTCAGTTAAAATACTAGCAATTTTCTATTTTTTTTTTCCTCCAAGGCCCACGCTAATTCTATCTGTCCTACTGATACAACTTTGTCTATGCTGACACAGTTCTTACTTTTCCTCAGAACACTTTCTTTGTCTGTGATTAGAGAAAAAAACACAGAGGACAAATAAAGCAAAAAGAGTCTTCTATGTACCAGATCACAAAACCCTACTATGCTAAATATACACATATTTGTTACTTTATAATATTACTATTCCTAGTTTGAAAGGGCACCTAGAGGCTGATGTCATTCTCTCCAGAATGAATATCAATCTAGTAACATAAACTGGGAGAGAAAGCAAAGGTCAGCCCATAGGTCCGGCCCAGATATTATAGTCTGTTATCTGGCCAAGATGCTTCCAGATCCTAGTGAGGCACTTAGAGACAATATAAAACACCCACACATTTTTAGAAATCAATGGCAGCATGGGACTTTTTATCACAAAAGAGATACAGCATGAACTCTGGGTTAGGATATAGAAAATACAACTTATTTCTCAACAAATAAGAATTTTCCACTTGGAGAGCAATAGAATATTAGAGTTGAAAGACAATCTAGAGACCATAAGTTTCAATTATATTCATAAAGGGGAAGAGGCCAAATGTACAGACTGTGAAGAATAAAAGACATATTCAGCGGTAATTGTACAACTACTGTCTGGGCAATCTTCAATAGCAAAAACCTCAGACTGATGAGGAAATTAGACACAGACACACAAACAATGGAGTGAATCAACAAGATTTCCCTCTTTAGTGAATGTAAAAAGAAGTCAACACAGTTATCATACACAGAGAGTTCAGTAATAGCATCCAATGACTGGGGAAGGCATAACATTTGAGTTCCTTCTAGACAATCCTCATCAGTGGACTACACTGAGGATGATAGGTCTGCCTGCATGGAAGTCAGATTAGACCTCTGGAACCTGAAATTTACCCTACAAGCCCAGGTTTATACTCGTAGAACTCTAGTACTCCTGTACATAGAGTCATCTGAAAATGTGCTAGAGACCCCTCATTCTAGCCAGGTGTACCTCATTACCTTTGAATTGTCCAGCATACAAGAAGCTAGTAGAGAACAGCACAGTATAGAGCATTCAAGCCTGAACACAGTCCTAGCTTGTACCCTGCTCTTCCAGCCTACAGGGCCTACCAAGCCCTTTACCAGCTATAGGGCCCATCCTGCAGTCACAGAATTAATTATAAAAACTGGTCAAGATTCCAGCATTTCTGAGGCCAAGTCAAATGCTTTCTCCACTAAAGCACAAAAGAGTGGCATCATTTTATAGGTGTACTAGAATTTTTTTGCAGCGAGTCCTATTATTTAAAATAAGTAAACTGGGAATTATAAATCTATTAAATATTGAAATATTACTTATAACAATAGCACTGTTGTTCTTGGATTCCCAGTGTGAATATATAGGCTTTTCCTTAATTAAGACAAAGGAATGCAAAATATATTTTAATGTTCTAAAATGAACTGTTTATAAACTACTGTATAGTAGTATGCACTCAATGGTTGCCTGTGGAATTGAGCTGAAATAAATCATGATGCATTTTTAGAATGTAAACTGAAACTGGTTTCAATGTGTTCAAACTGTTGTGTGTGTGTGTGTGTTTTAATTCTGGATTTCAGCCTAATTCAAAATCTATTTTTAAGTAAATTCACTAGTAGTTTTTCAGATAATTCTTCAGAATATTCTACTTATATAGTTCACAAAAAAGTTAAAGTTAAATTGATTTCAATTGAACTCAATCTGAAAACTGAGAATTGCCTATTTCTAAATAACATTTTTATTATTACTTCTGTTAATGTCTAATTCAAAGAAGAATACATTAGCTATATATTGTTAAGACTTTTTTTCAGAGAGCAGTCTAGTTTCTTTTTCTAAAATAGTATTTTCATTTCAAAAATATTAATTTATTCAATTATAGTAGGCTGCTACATTTTAAATCATATGCCTATTTGTTTCATGTAAAGTAATATTCATCCATTTCAAAAACAGGAGGTTAGTGGATCCCAAGATGGCTGAATAAGAGTCAGCTCTGAAAAGCAGCTCCCAGTGAGAGAGACTCAGAAACCGACTGGTCTCCACAATTCCAAATGAGCTACCAGGTTCATTTTGTGGGTCTGGTTGGACAGTGGGTATAAACCAAATACAGCAAGTTGAGGCCAGGCAGAGCACTGCCCCACTCAGGAGGTATGTGCAACTGACCAGAGGACCAGGAGTTCTCCCGCTCTGGGACTTCGGTTCAGATATAGCGCTCCACCCAAACCCTCAACAACCCACAGAACAGGAGATCTTCACCAGGCTGAAAAGCCTCAGCAAGCTGCCAGAACAGGGCAGAACAGCAACTTCAGCCTGAGCCGGGACTGTCAGCATAGATCTGGGCAGAAGGACTGGCTGACACAAAAGCCAGAAAGCCAGCTGGACAGATCTACCCTCCCCCCAGAGGGAAAAGGAACTAAAAATAGGGAAATAGCCCATACGGTAGGCTGGGTCCACCAGTCCCCCACACAAAGCCCAGCAGACTGAAAAAAAAAAAACTCTCACGCCACAGTTTCACACCTAGAGAGGGACCAGGAATGATCCAGCTCAGCAGGGGGAGGGGCGGCCACCATTGCAGAAGCTGGCCTAATTTTCCTGAGTAAATAAAAGACGCAGAAGCTCCACTGAACCTGTGGCAGCCAGCAGTGCCTCTGCAGGCAGACAATGGAAAGACCACCTCCCCAAGCAGCTACCTGAAATCAAAACTATATAAATCCAATGAGATGGGAAAAAACCAGTGCAAGAAGAATGAAACCATCAAAAACCAGAACATCGCTCCCCCACCACGAGATAACAACTCCTTACCAGCAAGGGAACAAAGCTGGACAGAGAACGAATTTGACAAATTGACAGAAGCAGACTTCAGAAGGTGAGTAATAACAAACTTCTCTGAGTTAAAGTAACACGTTCTAACCCAATGCAAAGAAACTATAAACCTTGAAAAAAGTTACATGAAGTAACATGTTCTAACCCAATGCAAAGAAACTATAAACCTTGAAAAAAGGTTAGATGAAGTGCTAATTAGAATAACCAGCTTAGAGAACATAAACAATTTCATGGAGCTGAAAAACACAGCACAAGAACTTTGTGAAGCATACACAAGTTTCAATAGCCAAATAGATCAAGCAGAAGAAAGGAAATCAGAGATTGAAGATCAACTCAATGAAAGAAAATGGGAAGGCAAGAAAAGAGAACAAAGAGTGAAAAGAAATGAACAAAGCCTCCAAGAAATATGGGATTATGTGAAAAGACCTAATCTATGCTTGATCAGTGTACTGGAGGATGATGGGGAGCATCAATCCAAGCTGGAAAACACTCTTCAGGATATTATCCAGGAGAACTTCCCCAATCTAGCAAGGCAGTCCAACATTCAAATACAGGAAATACAGAGCACACCACAATGATACTCTTCTAGAAGAGCAACCCCAAGGCGCATAGTTGTCAGATTCACCAGGGTTGAAAAGAAGGAAAAAATACTAAGGGCAGCCAGAGAGAAAGGTCAGGTCACCCACAAAGGGAAGCACATAAGACACACAGTGTATCTCTCAGCAGAAACCTTACAAGCCAGAAAAGAGTGGGGCCAACGTTCGACATTCTTAAAGAAATGAACTTTCAACCCAGAATTTCATATCTAGGCAAACTAAGCTTTATAAGTGATGGAGAAATAAAATCCTTTATGGAGAAGCAATTGCTGAGAGATTTTGTCACTACCAGACCTGCCCTACAAGAACTCCTGAGAGAAGCACTAAACACAGGAAAAACCAGTACCAGCCACAGCCAAAAAGAACCAAATGGTAAAGACCAATGATGCAATGAAGAAATTACGCCAACCAAAGGGCAAAACAACTGACCAGTAATAAAATGGCAGGGTCAAATTCACAAATAACAATATTAACATTAAATGTAAACAGACTAAATGCCCCAATCAAAAGACACAGACTGGCAAATTGTGTAAAAAGCCAAGAACCATCAGTGTGCTGTATTCAGAAGAACCATCTCACATGCAAAGACACACATAGATTCAAAATGAAGGGATGGAGGAAGAT